GGGGGGGGGAGAGTCACAGCCTCCCACTACTTAAGTTTTCCCGCTTTTCTTTTTTTGGCCCCCCCCTACCTCCCGATTCCTGCCCTTCATTGTATTACTCCCGTCTTCAGATTAATAAAAAGAATCAGAAACCTGGGTTTTTGGCAAGCCATGCCAAAACTTATCATTCTTGACAATTCGCTGACGTTGCATTTTTCCTGGGCAGTGGAGGTAACTCCCACAAGATGAACATCATTACAGGCCAGCTTTCACTGAATGGTTATCACAGTTTGACCATCGATTCTATCATCTCATTATGTTATAAGTTAGCTACAAAATTTCAACTGTTAGAGCTCGCGAGGTACGCGATTCACACTGATCTATCTCGTAACCGACTTCGATACGAAAATGTATCATCTTGACTTTTTCTCCCACTTAAGTCAGACATCCTCTCTCAACTGAGTAATAGTCAGCTACAATTGATCACCTTCTAAACTTCCGTGTTGGCAAGAACTATTATTGTACTTCTTGAAGTCTTCTTTTTAACACAGATGTTAAAGAAATAAAGCTACTTCAAATTTTGAAAAGATCAAAGACATATTTTACAAGATTAACCTCATAGGCCTCAAGGCCTTTGAGATTAATCCTACCAAATGTATCTGCAAATGTTTCCTCTTGATGTCCTCTCACATTCAGATCAAGCCTCTCTTAACAGTTGATTTATTGTTTCAGAATTGTTTAATAACTAACAATAATGTTATTACACTCAACGCGTTTGTTTTGGCAAGAACAATGGATTAATCTCAAATTTGCCATTTCATCCACGTTATTGAAAAACTGGTCATCAAATGACCTAAAATTTGTACGTGTTGTAAAATATATTTATAAGATTAACCTCTTGGGCCTCAAAGGCATATTTACTTGTAGTTCTGTGCTGAAAAAATAGTGCAAATTGCCGAACTTTTCCTTTCACGACATCATTTTCTAACTTCAGGAATTTTTTCTGGTTTGCCGTGGTTGAATAAGGTTTGTTCATAAACTAATTGTGAGACACCAATACTACAAAATATTGGCTTTTGAAATATTGTTTTAATAGTTATTTTAGAATTTCGAGGTAAAATATGGTCAATTTTGGTTCTTCGATGAATGAAAGCAAACTTCAAATGGATCTATTTGAACAAAGTAAGCGTTTATTTCAGTGGTTCGATAAGAGGCTAGCTATTCAGTAAGGGTGGTTTGCTTCCTTAAATTTTGCCAGGATTACAATGACCATCTGGGCAAGATTTCTCTTTCACCTCGTACCCCACGATGTCTATGCTTCTTTGACAAAAGAAAAAATAAATTAACTCTCTAGGAGGCTAAGGCTTTGTTTAACAAAATTGGAAGTTTATGCGGAAACCTTTCCGCAGTTTCTGTTACAAAGTAAATTAAACAGCGCGAACTTCAAAGGTTTGGCAGCTGGACAACCGACGTTTACTGAGTTACAAGATCTACTTTCTGGAAAATCAATCTGCCAATACAAAAACATTTTAACCCGACGATTTTCGGAAAATGTGAGCTTCAAAAGTTCTTAAATATATCTTGGTTAAAAAATAGGAAAACAAAAAAATCTGCTAAAGAGGCCCCAGGATGGTTTGGACAAGCCACTAACAGCCACCCCATTCAAGCAAAAACTTCATTTTTCAGTAATTCCTTGTGAGAAAAAGGCGATATAATTAAAGGCTTGTGCAAATGGCTTCGTGTCACAGTTTTCCTCAACGGCATTCAGTGATCGTAATGCACGCGTTTAGATGTATTAAGTAAATACACAAAAGCAAAGTACAATCACGTTTATTCAGTACATATAAGATTGCAATATTGATCAAAAAAAATATTGAAAAAGGTCTAGGAAAAAAAATATTTCACTCCAAATTTCAAATCGTAAATTTTGAAATGTGGTATGTGGCCGACCCAGAAGCTATTGCTTCCTTTACAAACGGAATTAAATCTTCAATATCAATTACATATTATGATTAATATTTTTGAGAAACGTCTGCAGTAACTCCCCTTCTTTTCTATTAATTAGATAATCATAACTTTTTGATGGAAATGGACATTATTTGATACCAATTTCAAGGAAACATCACCATTCACCATTCTCAATCCAAGGTCGTTTGTCGGAATTTTCTTGGATTATGGTGGCTAAAACACAAAAAATCCGAAAATCCGTATCACTTACAGACAGTGACGTTCAAACTTTCCTAGAAGGGAAAGAAAACCAGTATACGAAAAGAAAAACCGAAAGTTGCGTATTCAGTGGCTTCGGTAATTGCATTTCTTACGGCTGAGAACGAAAACCTGGAAGATTTGCCACAGACCAATTTGGCCGTTTAACTGAAAGATTTATTCTGTCGGTAAGGACGAAGGCAGTGAATGAGAATTTGGTAAATTGGAAATTACGCCCACGATTGTTTTTGTAATCATGATTCAACGCATTTTTCCATCTTGAGCCTTAGCGCCAAGCCATGCACTGTGCGACTTTAATTCGGGAATTGTCGATTTCTTTCGTTTCATTCACTAATAAAGTCGGCTTTTCTTGTTAGTTAAAAGCTATTGTGTTTATATGACAAACAAAATAATACATGATTGCTTCTAGATATGGAACTTCTCTTCTTGTGTTCAACTCGAACAGAAATCCCATATCTACGCGCGGCCGTGTATTATTCTCTATTTAACTATTTGATTGTCAACGTTGCCATTTACATTCACTTGACAGCACTTAGTAAAAATTATTTCAAAAGCTTTTTCTGACATTAAAGAAGTTTCTTCGCAATTTTTGCCTGTCCTATTAAAAACAATTAAGACTATCTTATTCAGCAACGTAAAAGGCAATATATCGTTTTCCTTCTTTTCATATTCCACTGTGTGCTTTTTTTTTCTTTCGGTGAATTTCCCTCTTTCATCAAATTTTCATGTGTCACTACCACGCATGTCGTCAATTGAAGTTAATATGACCTTTCCATAATGTCATAGCAATAAAATAATGTGCTCACTGAAACAGACCATCAATTTCGTTTATATTTCAGAGGCCAACCAAAATCTTTCGAAGGTAATCAAGCCTTAGAGTCAAAGATTTTCGGACAGCAGTACCTCGTAGATCTTATTTGGTTATCTTGATAATGATCAAACGTCAATTAAGATCGTATGGTAATGACTATAATTCTTCTTAAAAAGCAATTAGGAAAAGGAAGTGATATATAAGGGCCAGAAAAGTAAGAGGTTCAGGTATTCATTACAAGAATGGACACTCAATCTATTCTGTACAAAGCTCTCATTGCAAAGTTACCAGCCGCTTAATCATAGTCCCTCCTGACATCTTTTTAACGTCCTGTCTGGTTTCACAATTGATTTTTGTTGATTTACTTTTCTGATGCTGGAAATGCTAAGAAGTTCAAGTACTTCTTTTGAAAATGAACATTCAGTCCACAATACAAAATTGGAAAGCTGTCATAAAAGCCCAAGAAGCTGCTTTATCAATGGGCTCTCTCACATCTTCCACCTGTCCGAGCTCTTCCTTTTTAGAACAGGCGTTCAGTGCCTTTTCTTTCTAGAAAGTGTTCCACATAGAACCTGCTGATTAAAAAGTATGCAGAAGCTCGTTGTTCCCCATTTGTACACAATAGGCCTCCAAAAGGGAAGGACAAACTACGACTTCTTGATTTAAAACTAACTCACGTTCGCCTTTTTATTTTCCGTCCCAAAATTGTTTAACGGGATTTTCCCATAACATTGGCATAATAGAATCGATTGCTATGCCCGCCCACTATTTCAAACTTCCATCCTTTAGTCAACACATGTGTGGAATTAGTTTGACTGCGAAGAGGGAAAATTAGTTTTTGAGCGCTTTTAATACAGTCAATAGACGGAAAACTGTCTCCAGCCACCTTAAATTCCTAAAGTTATTCATAAAAATAGCCTATGTTTGTCTCGGTAATCCATGAAGCTTTTTGATCATTGGAGTTTTAAATCTATATTGTAGGCTGAGGTAAATAAACGATACACAACTATCATGCAAATGTCACATGTAAAAAAATAATGAATTACGTGTACTAATCTTAACCTTTGACTTTATAAGAAACGCCACAATTTTTATATTTTAAAGGCCAAAGAAAAACTGCAAATCTACTGTAAACTGTAATATGGTTTCTAGAGAAACTGTAATTCCGCGTCCGCTGGCATGTCAAACAGTAGGTTTGTTTCAGTTTACTATATTTCGATAAAAGTAAGTAACCCACGGTAGCGAAATTTGAAAAGCTGACGTTCCCACTAATCATGTAATCACGATGTTAATACAAAATAACTTTTCTTTAAGTCCAACAGAAAGCTAGCGATCGGAAACACCAGCTTTTATAATTCACCGAGGCGCTTGACTCACTTTTATCAAATCTGGCATAACATATTTAGGCAAACGTTCTCAGTTAATATTGTCCCAAGCCAGTAGACAGACATAATTATTTTAGTCGATTAAGAGACTTACATCCCGGAAAATATTGAAAGGAATGCTCTTAGCTCTTTTCTCGCCTTTCCACTGCCTAGTCAAAGAGCACTCTGCGATTTTTTTCGTTTTTCCAGTTGCTCCTGATTAACAGCTTTCTCCTTGGCTCGATATTTCAGTGAATTACCTGGTAAAACATACTATGAAATAGAGCTTCTTCTTCAAAAGTTAAACCATTGCATTCAACTCATTATAAGTTGGAACAGATAAACTGTATATCCTAGTTATTTGTTGATTTTTAACTCTTGCGACTTATTCAAACTTCGCCAGATGTCCTTAAGCTCAATGTTTTCCTGCGTTTTTCGCCGAGTACTTGTGTATCTGCAACGTGTTGGTAGTAGGTTCGTTTCCCGTGTACAGCGCCTGTTGAATGCTTCTCCGCGCTTGGCACTTGCTGCACATTATCCCACGATGGTAGCAAGGTGATCACCGGCGCTTGGCATTGGATGAATTTTTCCTCGCTCAGTTCGGTCCTTCCGTCCTCCGTACCGCCTTTATTTAATGCAAGCTAACCGCTCACAGTCCATTGTATAACGTAGTTATACCAAAATTTGCAAACTCCAGGTCTAACCGAAGTCATTTCACTCTCGTAGGATCCCAGCAAAAACGGGTGTTGGAGTGCATCCGGCCAAGCACCTCCATGTCATGTTCAGAAAGATGAAAGTCGGTGAGGCAGATGTTGTCTTTAATATGTTGAGCCTTAACAGATTTTGGAATAACCCCTGGAGAAAAAACAAATTTCCTAGCTTTTTCGTCTCTTTATATTAGTGGAATAACCTCTGGAGAAAAAGGAAATTTTCTTAGCTTTTTCGTCTTTTTCTTTTTAAGTGAAATGACCTTTTCTCTTTTTGACGTTCGTATTTCGTAAAAGCTTTCAACACTTAAAGCATTTAAATTCACAGGACTGAACATGGAATCCTTGAGGACATGTGTATATGTTAGTTCTAATTTGTCCTATGCGTGGCAATGGATTGTTATTTCCCTTTTTGAAACAAATCAATTCAGAGTCCGTCTACGAAGGAGTTTCTCGTATTTTTCTAAGGAATGTGTTTCATAATTCCTGAAAACCAACCTCTCCCAACCTCAGAAATCAAGACATCGACATGAGCTTATAAGTCTGAATGGCTCGTTAAAAGAAAGCCAGTAAGACCGTGAAACGGGCATCGAAGCTTCGAGTGCAGAAACAGGCATTTTCTGTTTCACGCCTATCGCACCTTCGTAACTCGTTTTCGCGACTCCGCCGGTCATTTTTTCGGCTCGCTAGTCGCTTTCGCGGCTCCGTCTGTATTTTTCGCATTTGTCCGTTGGTCTTTTTCGAGGCTCCCTCGCTCGTCTATCTCAACCGCACACAAAACCAACGGCTACGCTTATTAGGAAGTGGTTCAGTAAACAAATGATAACAAATGAGACCACTCGGTAGAGATCATTCCATGGAAAGCGCACGCGAAAGAGTTATATTCACGAATTGTGATACATCAAAAAAACCAACGAGTGAGCATTTTGATGCATTGCCAACGCCAGCATCACCAGCACTTTCCATGGTATGATGTCTTTATTTCATACAAACTGAGATTTAAATTGTGAAGTACGAAGCGAAAGGCTGTGAAAATACATCCTTCGTCCAATCATAGACACGAACGGTAGTAATCTCAGTACGTACGAAATAAATGAACAAACTTTAGTTGCTCACCAACATCGTGCTGAAGAGCCCATTTCAGAAGCACTTGAGCTGTTGATTTTCTGTACTCTGCGGCCAGGGTACACACAGTTGGTTCCTCCAAAAGCTAAAAACAGTTAATAGTGAAAAATTTGGTCAATAAAACTGATGTTTTAAAACCAACTTCACTAAATTATCAAATTAAAAACTGAATTATCATTTTGGGCTAGAATTTATACGGAAAGAGAGAAGGCAAAAAAATAACATATAGAACGTGTGGTGAGTGAACACTAAGTGTTCATATTATATTAGCAGAGCATTCAAAAGGAAAGGTGTTGAAGGGTGCTCTTCCATTGATATTCATCAAAGTTTATGTTGGCTGATGGGCCATCCTAGAGACAGAACAAATAAGACCACTTCATATACTTTTCCTTGACCCAAAGAGGTGTATGCTTGCAACTGAATTCCTTTACTCTTGCAGTATTCAAGCAAATCTTTCTGGTAAAGCATGGGATGGAATTCAACCTGTGTAAAATCAAAACATGTTGTTTTAATTACCATTAATTTCTTCATTGAAGAAATTTAGACAGAATAAAAGCGACATGGCAATTATACTAAAGAGTGTCCAAGAATTCTGGAAGATTAAAAGAGGTAAACTATTGAAAAAGGTAAAAATATTTTTAACAATTATCATCATAATCTGTTTTTAATTTTCCTTTATTTTGTTTTGTTTTGTTTTTTTTTTTTTGGGGGGGGGGGGTGGTGGTAGGGGTAAGGATGTAAAATTCTGGTTAACTTTTAAAATTGTGTCAAAGGTGCAATGGAGCTCTGTACAGAAGAACAAATTCTAAGTAGTCTTGTTAACAGAAAATTAATCGGTTAAGTTACACGGTCAAGTAAAATACCATGTGTTTATCAGCTACAACCTACCAGTGACTAGGATGATGCTCATCATTTAAGGAAACACATACATTTCTTCTGAGACCACTAGAAGGTCATGTTCCCCCCCCCATACCCACTTCTCCAGTTGGGCTCACTTTGTGGGCTATACCATGTTCACAATCATGTCACATGATTAAGAGAATTTGGGTAGGTCTTAAAGGTTATTCAAACCTTCAAATTTTCTTTCCGTACAGTGTGACATGGAAAGTCTATTGAGTTGACCAGAAAAAATAAATAATGATAATTATATATTTCAGTAACAACAAATTTGGTTGCATATGATCGAGGCATCAGATTAAACATAATGCCTACTACAATCATTGTCACATAGCTCAAAGCTTAACCTTGACAACTCCTAAGATATAACCAGTAATTTCCCCTTCTTGCTGTTCAATATAATTTGTTGTAAATCATTAAAAACAATTTAGTGTCGCATTAAGATTACTCATTCCAGACGATCAGTTAGTATCTTCTCCTCTGTAGTTTCTTTGATAAGGTATGGATATTTTAGATAGAAAATGAGTAATCTTAATGTGACACTAAATTTTTTTTAATGACTTACATCAGACCTAGGAGTCTATGAGTTTTACCCTTTAACCCCTAACCCTTAGAGTGGCTTGCATCTAATTTTGAGAATATAGAGAAACGATCTTTAACTAAGAAGCTCTTGATTTGTTGAACATTTTCTCCTTATCACCACACTTGGAAATGTATGGAAAACACCACCGAGAAGATGCATACTGATGTTAAGGTGTGAAGGGCTAAGTACCTGAAGAACAGCAGGTGTGACTGTTGAATACTGAAGAAGTTCTTCCAGATGATCTACAGTGTAGTTTGATACTCCAATTGACTTGACTAAACCTGCAAACATTAACACACATTTAAAACTAGTTGACTGATGATCCTTCTGTAAAACAGAATGTAAAGACACATTGTGAATACTTGTACTGTGCCTCAAGCTATAACTGTTTTGGGTGTCATGGTGACTACAGAAAATAATGTGAAAAAGTTGAAGTTCTGTCGCTGACTTTTATACATTTTTTTTTTCTCCTTTGCTGGCCATGAGACAACATTGTATGACCTTCCATTATCAATTGCTTTGATTCATTATGGCCATCTTGCTTAAATCCCAGTCTGGGAACTCATGAAATATTGCAAAAGCTCTCTTTCTCAATTTCTTTTTTCTGGCAACAAAACATTTTCCTCTGCCAAATATTTCTGATTCAAGGCTATGTCTTTGTAGAAGATTATGCCTCAGCTGCACTGTATCTCCTTGTACTTCTTCATCTTCATTTGGAAAAGTTAATAATCTCGATAAATTGCACTCATTCCTACTGTCATAATCCAAATAATTGTATGCTGTATGATCAGCTGTTTTTGTGCCTCTGTTTGTGGTTGTTGTAAAACTTTCTTTATTTGCATTCAAGCTGCAATAACACCTTTCAGCCATTGTCATGCGCATATGTTTGTTCCATACTGATGCTTATCCTGTCATATTTCTAACAGGCAGCCACAGGTAGCCTAGCAAATACTACAGTTGCAGTCAGGCTCTGTAAGATAAGGCTTTAAGTGATATTTAAAAGTCACTAACCAGTGCTATAAAGTTTCTCTAAAGCTTTCCAACTTCCTTGTCTCAGCTCCGCATTCCTAGGATCATCACTCTTGAGTTTTTGAACACCAGGCCAATGTATAAGATACAGGTCAAGATATGCACAGTCTAGTGCCTTCAATGACTTCATAAAAGCCTTTTCTGTGCTATCAAAACCATGATCTCTGGGGGCTACCAAAAAGGAAATTAAATGAACACATCAAATCAATCACAGGAAAATCCCCATAAGCTCAACGATACATGTAATTTCTCTATGGAGGTATTACTGTATGCTGAATGGTCTTTTTAAAATCATTTTGTCAGATGTCATGTTCAGTGTCCAGTTATTTATCATTTTATAATCTTTTTTTTTTTTTTGGCCACTACCATTGATCACAAAAGAACAAATTGTGCAGGGTAAAATCAATTTCATTCAAAGCTGTATAGTTTTAATGAAGACTGGCTCCAATACAAAAATTAACAAATTGGGTATGTGTATGGGGCACCAAACCAGTCAATATTCCCTTTGTATTTCTGTGACGCAGTTTACTTTTTATATGGTCAACTTTTACTTTTTGTATGGTCAACTTTTCTTTTAATAAGATAAATTTTTACTTTTTATATGGTCAAGTCGAGTTTTTATATGGTCAACTTTTTACTTTTTATATGGTCAAGTTGAGTTTTTATATGGTCAACTTTCTACTTTTTATATCAGTCAGTGTTAAGGTAGACTGCAGATTTCAGACTGCAGACTGCAGACTGGGAGTTAAGTGCAGACCAAGGGTGAAATGCAGACTGAAGACTGCCAGGGGTAAAAGACAGACTTGGTTCAAAAACAGCCCGCTTCCCCGGAAAAACTTCAAGAGTGACCTAGGATCGAGGCTGCATGAGTTGTGAGAGGCTGACAATAATCATCATGGCGATTAATGTTTCAAACTTCAAGTCCTCAGATGGTCTTGGCATTAACATATTGTTTTAAGGTAAGAACAATTAGAAATGCAACTGTTTGAATATGCAGTTTACAGCCAGCTAAATACATTTTCCCTATTCATATAAGAAATAAAGAGTTCTGCTGAGCAACATTAGGTAGCTTTAACATACATGTAGCTCATGCATACTTTGTTCGGCCTTAAAAGTAGTAGCGACAGACGTTCATCACACATCGGCAATTTCGATTACTTGGACAATAAAAACCTTTTTCTCGTACCTTTGTTTTGTGCTGAAAAGGTAAGTGTGATCTTGGAATGGTGCTTTGTATCAGAAGCTTCAAGATGTTCAACACTTCGCTCTTGTGCTTCACAATCAGGTCAATACTGCGGTCATAAACGGAACCGAGTCTGCATTTTACCCCTGGTCTGCAGTCTTCAGTCTGTATTTTACCCTCAGTCTGTACTTTACCTCCAGTCTGCAGTCTGCAGTCTGAAGTCTGCAGTCTGCGTTTTACACTGACCAATATAAAAGTAAAAAGTTGACCGTATAAAAAGGAAACAGTTGACCATATAAAAAGTAAACTGGGTCACAGAAATACAAAGGGAATATTGACTGGTTTGGCACTCCATATATGTGGGTGTTTTTTGAGGATCTGTAGAAAAATTTGGCATTTTTTAATATTATGAGATTCTAAAGATTAGCACTGATCAAAAATCTTACATCTTAAATAACAGCACAACACTTACACAGTTTACTTGTCAGAAAAATATCAGATCTGGAGAGACCATACTTGGGCAAAAGGTTTTTCAGTGACTCCCCAATATCTGCCTCATTCCGGTATACAGCAGCAGTATCTGATTAAAAAAAATAACAAAGATGGGCTATCAAGCCTTAGACCAATGCTGAACTGTGTGGCTAAATGATTAACAATAGTTTGGTGACTGAATCGCACACTAGCAGAAACAGCTTAAACCTAAGATCATTCTGCATATTTTCCACACTGTTCTCTATACATTTCCTATGATACTGACATGGAGTATAGTATGGAGTATAATCAAGAACTTTCCCAGTGGGTGATCATTTCTGTCATTCTCATGGACTTAATGTTTGATTCAAGGGTGATGGTGTAAGGAGAAATGAGGCACCATCACTCCAAGGGATTAAAGAGTGAATATGATTTCAGCCGCATTTAATTATTAGGAGAATTGCAATTTTTCCTGGATGGGATGCTAAACAATGTCAAGACAAATCCTTCAGAATATAATGAGCATCACAGGTTTCTCTCATAGTTCACTGTGGTACCTATACCAGTAAAAGGTGTGTGAGTCAAACTGAAAGGGTCAAGTGTCTCAATCTACCACAAGACATCAAAAGGTCTAAAACCAATACCAAATTCTCCCAACTAACTTCACAAGAACTGGTTGGCAGACAGTATAGAGAATTACTAAAGAAATCTTGGGAATGAAAGGGTTAACAATAAATGCATGATTGTTTTGATCTTACCAATGAGCCTGTAGCCACAGTGGATTGCTGTATCAATAGTTCTGTGAATTAAATCTTCCCCTGACACTTGTTTCATCTGAAATGTTCCCACTTAACAGTACAGCAAGTTATTTGTGAGATATACTTATACTGCATGTGAACATGTTTGAACATTTAGTACACAATGTGAAGTTTCATGTACAGATTTTAACTTGAGCAAATTAGGTTCATACTCCCTCGCTAAATGTTTTGAATAACTTCTACAAATGTGTGATTATTTAATTACCTTGTTCATTAAAATGAATACTTAACCCTTTCTACACTAACATTAGCCTGCATGTTCTTCATACCCTTCCCTATACATCCCTAAGGTGCTGATGAGAATTTGTTTCATAATCCAGAACTGCTCTGGTTGGTGACCATTTTCTTTATTCTCATGACCTTAATGTGTGATATGGGGGTGATATTGTAAGGAGAAATTAGGTGCTAGTCATTCTTTGGGGTTAAAGGATTAATAAATTGATAAATGGGTGGAATTTCATGTTACATCATTAATGTACATAACAAACTTACATCCAATCCCCGGTATTTGTTGTCCATTATTTAAAGTATGAACTGGCAACATAGTTTGTATAAAAAGATGTCAAAAAATCTGCATCAATAAAAATTGAAAATATAACGATAGAAAGTTAACCTAACAAACTTAGTCCGGTCAGCATTTTAACACCATAAAGCATGCGTTTCATGAGCTCTTTCTGCGTATCCGTCCAGCGGCTGCCCCCAGTAAGCGGGAAAATCAAGAGGAAATAACGTGTAACTTGTCACTCTTTGTACATTTGCATGCGAGACACTTCAGGATTATTCGCACCTTTGAACAACACAGGATACCCGTCGTGTTTATCAGAATGTAAGGTAAGTACACCTATGTTATAATTTTTTAGATTTCGATGGGAAATACGCGACTAGAGGCGGAGAAGTTGAGTAAGTTGGCTTCCTGTCTACGAACACTTCAGACCTCGTGTAGGTACGATGACGAGACAAAAGTTTTATAACAACCAAAACATAATCAGTTGTTTCCCGAATACAACGATGATAAAGCGAGTATTTCCTGCGTCAATGCATCGCCTGTTTTTTTTCTGAGGGACAGTGTATGTGGACTATTACGTCTAGCTTCTTAAAGGCACAAGTTTTATATTTTTCGTTACGAAAGTCGAGAACCTTTTGTTGTCGTCGCGGAGATCCAAGGGAACATAGTTGTTTCCGGTCGCGGAAATGAAAACCATGGAACTAGAAGACAATGTTGTTTGACAATGCTTGGTTAATTGTATGTTCTACTGAAATGTTAAAGGGTATAGAATGAATGATTTGCAGGTGCGAGCCCTAGACAACAGGATTGCACGGTATATTGCATGAACTGCTACTCATTTGCAAAATGTATTCTCGCTGTAAATATGACCTCGTGTTGGAAACTGTCATGACTTTTTGTTAGCAATAGAAATTTATCGAGTCTAATCCCATTTCATTACTGTTATGACGATCGAAAGCTTCATTTTTTAACCATTCTTTTGAACAGAAACGCGAAAGTGTTTTCTACAAAATTCGTATTACTTCATTTTTACTCAAGATATTTTTAGAACTTTTGAATTGTTGCTCTACTAAAAAGACATTGCCTAACGCAGAACTTTTCGAAAATATTTTCAAATCCATAAGTCAAAAAACCCACATTCTTTTGTTAATCTGTGTCGCAGTAATTTTACTGTAAAGTATAGAAAATTCAAAACACGTTCAGTTTGGAAGACGTAATATCCTCCTTCGCAGGAAACACGTAATCTGCTCTCTGAAGCACGTCCAATGTGAAATATACCTACTACTGCCGGCTTCGCTTCAGCGAGTTCATCACGACTGTACAATGCGGTATTATTTGTTTTCTGTCAGGGAATAACAATAAAAGTGCTTGACATGTTCATTCTGTAGTCGCAATAAATATTGCGATTCACTTTTAAAGCAAGCTCGCTCAGAAACTGACTACTCACACTACTCACGGGGGATGTAATTTAGTTATTTATTATCGACGTGTGCGAGTGACACGGCTTTGGCTTTTGCGTGGGAGTCCGCTACGCCTCAAAGTTCTGCTGCATACAGATATTTACGTCAATTTCATTATAAAATTCGTGTTGTTTTCGTTTTTTGTTTTTTTTTTCTTCTTATTTTCGTGGACAGAATTCCGCGGTCCTGTATTTAAATCCATTTTTATTTGTCGCTTTATTACTATTGTCTTGCATGGATTGTCAACTTTAACCCCGCGAGCATCACTTTGAATGTCGATATATTTATCTTTATTATGCCGTTCAGGGCGGTTTTTTAAGGAGTTTTTCCAGAGGGTGAAATACAGCGTCACCATTTAGATAAAAGCTGCCAAGTAGTTCCTTCATGTGCTAATCTTTGTTTTTAATTATTAGTAAAATCTCTTTTTTGTGATATTTTTAAGTTTGAAAATAGATTCTTCTGTAACCCGCTTATATTACGGAGGTGAAATTGAATCTCTTTGGGTAACCTTGAATAATTTCCGCGAAAGAGGCTGTTTGCATTTATCTTGTTATTAATCTTGACTGCAATTTTTTGTTTCGAATGTCTTGAAGTTTTCACTAAGAGGTTTCGTGCGCCAAATCTCTATAAATAGTACCATCATCTAAATATAGCAGTTTGTTCCTCAACAAACTAATCTTGGTGACAGTGCCTGGCGACGGACAATGGAGAAACATTCGACGTCCTGTTCCTGCTTTCAAGGAAGGAACAACTGAACATAATTAATGGCAATAAAGTTCATTTGCGTTTCGATTTCAGATTTCTTGCAAAAGGCAGGAAAATAAGCATTTACCGGTTAGAGCTTGGATTAGATTGTTTTAAAGCGGAAACCGCATTGATGTTCCTGTTTGTGCAAATTGAAACCCCGGTTATTTGTACGTTCGTTTGCTGTATCAAGACGCTCTTAGATTCCGTAATGTCATGCACAATGCAGCATGATATCTTGCGAGTGACCTTTAGTATTGCTCTGACTGGATCATCAGGCAAAACGTCTGTTAGTGGCACGACCTAAGAGAAAATTAATCCTGTTGATCAAATATCGTGATGCCCTTTCCCTTTCGAATGCCGTCAGCTTTAGCTCAGAATAATGCTTCCTAAACCAAGGGAACAAAGGCTTTAGTGTGCATCTAAGTTTCTGAAATTTGCAATTCGCAATCTGTGTCAAATTTCTCCATCCTTAATCGCCTTCGCTCCTTTATATCATAACAATTACGGAGGTTTTTGATCTTACCAAACTGGTACGCAAATTGGCTTTTGATCACGTTACTCTACATTACATTGCTTTGAGGTATGATTTCGCTGAAGTAATATCGAGTTTATTTTAACATTTAAATCTAGATGTGTGACGCGATGTTAAGGCCCTTCCTGAAAGGGCTTAATTTTCTAATAATTAACGAGCTCTGCAAGAGTTTGTTTAGCATTCAAATCATGTATCGACCTGTATCCTGCTGGTAAGTTATCAGATACTTGACTCATGCGTTTGGTATTTTCTTCCGCTAAAATAGCGCCGTTTTCCTTTTACGCTGCATTTATGAATATCATTGGCCTCTTAATTGCCCCTGCACGTTGTCGTATTCCAAAAATTCAATACTACATTAATTTTTAGGGTCATCATATATCTAACTGCCTCGGAATAGGTCGGAAACTGTTCGGATTGAGTTCGGTACCTATTCGGAGAGCAGTTCGTGAGCTTTTCGGGACGGATCAGAAAAATCTCTGAACCAATTCCATGAGCTTGAACACGAATGAAACTTATTTTTAACAATTTACCAAGAGATTGAAGGATGAGACAAATATTAGGGAATGTCCGAGATTCCAGTTGTTATATTTATGCAGTAATTAGAATACGTGACATCGTAAAAGCAAAGTCTTAAGGAGCCAATAGGAACTCAAAATAGAAACAAGCGCGGGAAAACACGGGTGACCAAATTTGATTTTAAGAATCTGATTGGTTGGAGACCCATCAAAGAACTAAGTCAAGCAAAACCACAGAAATCCCGAATTGCTCCAAAATCCGATCAAGCTTTGCTCTTTTCCTACAGCACAACTTGAACTCTCCTGGGTGAAATGCCGAAAAGAAAGCGCGGAGTGTGGAAGCGGTCTTCGTGTAACCCAAATAGGGTTCCCTCGTCCACTGCTTTTGTGAAGCCTAGGGACGACGAAGACGCGGTGTCCATCTGGGTCCAGTGCGAGAGCGAGAGCTGTCAAAAATGGCGCCAAATTTCAGCCGAAGAAGCCGAGGGCTTAGGGGACAGCGCGTGGTATTGCTGGCTCAATCGTGACACGCGTTATAACAACTGCTCCGCCGTGGAACAGAAAGCCAAGAAACCCAAGCATATGAAATTCATATACAGTCTGCTTCCCCAGGGAGAAGTGGTCATGGCTAAATTGTCGGGTTACCCGCCGTAAGTGTCTAACTGATTTGCTTACGACTATTATTGTTCCTTTAACTGATTGAACTTGCATTGAACGCAAAAGCTCAGCGAGAGGCGATGAGAAGTGAGCAAGCTTCAACTAGACGAAAGCCTAGTACCTGATTCTAGGTCGAATTGAAATGTTCTGGTACCAGTTCTGGGCCCATTTGTATAAAGGGCAGTTAACGCTATCCAACGAATCAATCGCTATCCAGCGGATAAGTGATTGCAAAACGTATGGTGTTATCCACCGGATAGACTTTTATCAAGTGGATAGCGCTATCCAACCTTCGAACAACTGGGACCTGATTTTCTTAACAGGGAAAGGAAAACTAGAGAACCTGGTGGAAATTCTCCCAGCAAGGACGAGATTCAACGACTACGTGTTCTCAAACATACAAACCCCAGGTCGGGAAATCGAAATCTAGCCCCAGCGGTCGGAAGGAAGTGCTCTCACAAATTTGAATGTTGTTAATGAGCCACTGGCTAGTAGGTTGTGGTATTAGAGGCCTGGTGCAGAGTCTTTGAGTGAACCAACTTCTTGTTCCTGTCTATGATATCTATCACCCTTTCTTTGTTTCGTAATTTTCAGAGATTTCTTGTTCGTCCAGCTCATTATTTATTTTCCTTTTTAACAAGTTGGCCAGGAATACTAACCCGTGATCCAACTTGCGGCGAGTACTACGACGCACCGCTGGACAAAGAGAATGAAATCACCCATTATCACGTAGAATTTTTTGGTCAGCCTCGTTCACGTGCATGGCTAGTGCCAGCCCGCGTGCATCCGCTGCGCTCCATGAACGAGACTAAGATGGTTCCTCAATTCAGAAAGATTCAGGGAAGGCAATTAATTGAACTCAAAAAGTCGTACGAGTTTGCGCTCAAGGAAGCACAGAGCTCCCTTAACACGACTGCAGAGGAGAGGATAGAGACGTGTCACTTCAAATATGTTGAGGGTGAGTCACTGAAGTGATATGCCTAAAATTTTGCTTTGATGTTGAGGAGAGAATACAACCCAGGAACCTGTAGACTGGAGCAATTTTTATCATCGCTGTGAAAACTTTGTAAGAATTCAAAGAGTAACCTAGGCAATCGGAAATTGTCGTCAAATCTCCTAAAAATGCGGATATAGATACCACCATTAAAAAAAAACTACACAGTAACCTGATTGCATAAAACTTTAAACCATAAAACAAAACTTTAACGCGTGCTTCACCAAAAGCCTTCGTTATGGTTAGTGCCAAAAAAACGCCATTTGAGTCCAGAATGCCTTTTTGAGTAGCTTATTGTTCAAACAGTTTGTCAAGATTTGGAAAAGGAATAGTGGGACTTGATTTCTTCATACTAGCCTCCAAAGTAGGATGTTTACACATTTGATTAGAATTTTCTAACGGTTCGGTTCCTCTTTGGACCCCTCAAAACAAGGTCAGTGTCATGTACGCTTTTTGCTGTACTTAATGGTGGGGATAAAAGTTGTGTGATTTTTGGAGCACACTTCTCCTCAATGACGATCTTCTCATAAAGGTATCGCAAACTTATGTGCCAGACCGTATTGTAGTGAAGATTTTCTTTCTGTAATCTTTTTGAGAAATCAATACTTCTAAGTTAAGAGATATTTTTATTATCTAAATTTTTGCAATAAGTTTTGAACGTGTTATGACATTCAGCAGAGAGAAAATTGGGCTTGATCATGATTAAAATCATGAACATAGAGGAATCCACATGAATTGTAGCAATTTAGTGGGATGATGAAACGATCCTTCGTTTCCAGGGTTCACTCTCTCCAGCAGAAGAGAGAGGACGTTGGAAACGAGCTCGCAACTTAGTTGGTTCGAGCATTACTGAGGGCTCTCGAGGTAAAAGGTCATCTCATATTTCGTTTTCCTTGAACGCATTTTACAGAGGAAGACAAACCCAGCCCTGTTGCAGTTAGCTTGGAGAGAACAGCTCCAGCTGAAAGAGTCAAGGTACCCGCCAAAATTCCCGCACGCCGCAAAACCGATACTCCGTTGAACTCTCCGACGATTCCTGTAATGGCGAGTGAGCACTTTGGTGTCGAGCAAGAATGCTTGGCAAATCCAGAGTTGAAGGTATGTAATGATTGCGACGAAGGATAACAGATTTATAATAATGTAATACCAATTTTCTCCATTTTTAGTCACCCTTGCTCTTTCTTTTGTTTTCTTCTATCTCAAAAATGTAATACATATTTGAATTCCCTTGCGGGGAAAGAATTTTTGCACGTTGCAGAAAATATCAAAATATTTTTCCACAAAATATCAAGAAATAGTCCTAAGGCCTAGTTGTTCGAAGGCCGATTAGCGCAAACCCAAGGTTAAATTTTAATTTCGGGTCATTTTATTCCCTTGATCAAAAGCCTTTTTGGGAAAATTTTCTCTATTCTTTAAAGAGCATCCAATAACAATATCCTAAACAAAAAGAATTATACTGAATTTGTTGTTAAAGCTTTCAGATCTGAGATCAGATTTCACACCGATCCTGGGTTATCTTAATCCAGCTTCGAACAACCCCGCCTAAAAGTTCAAACCTGGCGCTTGTGGGCAATGGCACTTGTTCCTTTTTTTAAAACGGAAGTCAGGAAACGTGAATCAATCACTCCAAGTCGAAGCTTACTTCTAAACTTCCCGTGAAAGTAATGTGAGATAAGAGACTTGTCTTTTTGTGACCGCTTATGAAGTGAATCAATATGAGGACGACCACGCGAGACGTGGTGAAGGACAGTCTAGAAACAGAATGGGGTGCAGGGGTTAAGAACCTGGAGTGAAGCAGCCATTGCTACAAAAATAGAGCAGTCTGGAGATGTAGAGAGAGCAGCTCCAGCAAGATGGCTTCTTCTGGCTCGTAAGCTGATGTCTTTGGGTAAAAAGTATTTTTTTCTCAATTTTACTGTTTTCTGACCGTAGGAAAAAGAATTCCTGGAGCGTCTGCAGGCGTTTTCATCAGAGCGAGGAGTCACTTTACCCAGAGCACCAGTCTGGCGAGGAAAAAGCATCAATCTGTTTAGATTCTACAACTTGGTTCAGCAACGTGGTGGATTTGAAAAAGTAAACTAGTAGGCGGTGTGCATAAATATGTTATGTCACCTTGTTTACTTTTCAACGGATAAGAAAGGGTCGTGATGCGAAAAGACTCCAAAAGTGGAGTAAGCGTGATCAAATGATCAACATTTCCAAGTTTGAGACGACTAATGCTGATTAAATTGCAATATTTCTGAACAATATGAATTTTCCCATTTTTTCCTCGCGATTATTGATTTTCTAAAAACTTGAAACAGTTGCGCGAAATCGCATTTAAACGAAAGTGGCTTTAAAATAATTGCACTTCCCAACACTTTTTATAAGGTCATCGGTTCGCACCGTGCGATTTTTTTCTCCCGGTTGACGAGGTGATACGACACGTCTATGCATGCAAAGTGCTCAGAACCTACAATTGAACGTAATAAATTTATTGGTTTATTTATTTTTCATTTTTCTCAAGGAGGAAACTAAGGATCGTAATTTAAAATAATCATGGTTGTCACAGTTCTGGAGAAAGTCAGAGAAAGATAAAATTATTTGAGATCAGGAATAAGTCAGGGGATTTATTGTTGCTTTTTTGTTCTGTTTGTCTGTTTTGTATTTATGACTCATTATCTGCAATAACATTCAGGTCTGTCAACGCAGATTGTGGGACGAATTGTATAACGAGTTGGTAGAGTTGAATGAGATATATGAAGGAATAAGCACGCCTACACAAGTTTTCTACCAAAAGTAAGTAAATGAAATCTTAGACCACTTACCTTTCGTTCGTTCTACAGTTTGTCAGCCCCCCCCCGCCGGTCTGTCTATTCGAAACTTCGTTCCTTCTTGCTCTTATTCATTTGTTTCCCCGCACTCCTTCCCTTCTGCATTTTTTACGTCCATTCTTTCGTTCATTTATTGATCGTTGGCTCATTCGATCTTTGTCTCCCCCTCAGTTCGCCGTTCTTGGATTTTTTTGTTCGTCTTCCTTCCATCCTTGAATTCTTTCCCTCGTCTATTCAATAAGAACCAGGGGATAGACGAACGAAAACACACGAACAGCAAGACGGGAACGAGGGAACTAAAGGGTGGACATACGAAAAACGACCGAACGATGATCGAGCCAAATTAGGCGATCAAGCACACAAATCAACGAGGAAACACAGTAGATGTACATGTTATCATGATTGATAAAGGAATAGACTCTACTTCTGTTGTTAATACTGCGTTGACGATTTTAACACCTAGATCTTTTTTGTTTATAGATATCTGATGCCTTTTGAGCATCATCTTAGAAATCAAAAGACAAGTGGTACGCAAATTTTTATCTCATCTCATTTAATTTATTTATTTCATTTTCTTTTCTTTT